ATAAACTAGAAGTCAGGTCTAGAGACTCAGTGAGATTTTAGGGTAAGTATTTGACTGGAATATTCCAGAAGGCCCATGAGGTCAGACCTTCCTAGCTGGCCCCCCCTTTTCTTTTGTTTTAGTGGAGGTGCTAGGGGTTGAACAGAGGACCTCGTGCATGCTAAGCATGTGCTCTACCACTGAGCTATGCCCTCTCCCCCAAGTCTTGACTTGTTAACAAAGCTTTCCAGGCGGGCAGAGGAGGGCCTCAGCCTGTGCTGCAGGCCTGGCCCTGAGCCCCTTGCTCTGTGTCCTGGCAGCATCCCTTCCTCCAAAGCCTGTGGGCCGTTCACCAACTTCAATACCACCTGGGAGGTGGTCCCCAACACCGTGGGCACCTTTCCCAGCTCGTTGCAGTCCCTGGTCTACGGCGTCACATCGGAAGCCTTCGCGGTGCCTTTCTTCATGATTATCTGGTGAGTGAGAACCACCCGGACCCTGCGAGTATTTTCCCTGCGCCTGGTGGGCTCCTCTTCGACTGGGAAATGGAGCTCACCTGCTACCCTTGATATGATGCTGGACCTCTCTGAACCTCAATTTGCCATCTTTGAAATGTCGTAATAATAGTAATTCTTTCAAAGGGCCATTGAGCAGGTCCAGGGAGATCCCACAGGTCAGGCACTTAGCCAGATGCCTGACTTATAACGTCTAACCCATAAATGTTGCCTATTAATCTTACTGATTGCTCACAAAATTAGTTGCTGTTTGGAAAGGGAACTGATTGCTGGGCAGAGAGAAGAGCATCAGACTAGAAGCACACAGTCGGACCCTGGCTCTGCCACTCAAGCTGTGTGGCCTCAGGTCATCACATACCCTCTCTGAGCCTCAATTTCCTCACCTGGAATATGGGAATAAGAATGGCACACACTTCATAGGGCTGTGAGAAGAAGGAAACATGGTGATGTCTGTAAAGTGCTCAGCAGAGGACTTGGCCCTTAGTGAAGGCTCAGTGAATGACAAGTGTTGTAAGCAGGGGTGATAAGGGTCTTTGCTGCAGTGATTCATTCTGAGTGTTAAAATAATTCTGATCACATGTGTGTTGAGGGCTTACTTTGTAATGGGTGTTGTTCTAATTATAGCCCATTCTCATTATTCATGGATTCCTCTTTTTTTCTATATCACAAATGGGTCTATTAGCTAAAATATTTTTGGAACTCCAAAAATGAATACTAGCAGTGTTTTTTTTGTGGTTATTTGTGGACATACACAGAGTAGCAGAAAATGTGAGTTGCCTGAGTACAATGTCTTGGTCTATTTGGGCTGCTATAACAAAATATCACAGACCCTGTGTCTTAAAAATGACAGAAATTTATTTCTCATGGTTCTGGGGGCTGGACGTCCAAGAATGAGATGCCAGCATGGTTGGGTGAAGACCCTCCTCTGGTTTATAGACTTCTTGTATCCTCGTTTGGCAGGAGGGGCTAGGGTGCTCTCCAGAGTCCCTTTCATAAGGGCACTAATCCCATTTATGAGGGCTCCACCCTCATGACCTAATTACCTCCCAAAGGCTCCACCTGCTAAAACCATCACCTTGGGGTTAGGATTTCAACATAAGAATCTGGGGGGACACACACATTCAGATCATAGCATGTACATCCCCAGCTTGGGGAGTGGAGGGGAGACAAAATGACACTCTGCCTTCTTGTTTCAGCTCAGACTGTAAAGAGGTGTCTTTTTTGTGATCCATTTAGTTCCAGGTTTCTTGCATTTTGTGCTTTTGGTTAGTGATTTCACTGTTTAAAGTGGCCCTCACATGTAGAGCTCAGTGCTATCTAGTGTTCATTAGTGCGAGAGGCTGGGATGTCATTTATGAATAAAATATGTGTATTAATTAGATAAGCTTCCCTCAGTCACACGTTACGGTGCTCTTGGCTGTGAGTTCAATGATGTTAAATAAGGTGTCTTTAAACAGGAACAAAGTTATGTACTGATAACCTTTCTCAAGAAACATAAAAAACAAAGTATTGATGAGTTGACAAAAATGTGACCAGAGGTGCGAAGGAACCTACTCTGTATTTCCGCAGGGGCACTGGTTCAGAACTCACTGATTCGGTGTTCCTGGAGATTGTAGAACAGAATAGAACCGCCACAGACTACTGGAATTGATTGTAGCTTACAGGTATTAATTAACTCAGTTATCCTATGATGTAGATGTTATTACAGAAAACCCCACCATAATGCAAGAAGGGGGCCAAAAAATTCATTTATTAAAGGCAAGATACCTTTGATATTGCCAGCCAGCCAGGAATTCTGAGGATCCCAGGATCCAACTGCTCCATCCTAATGGGTTCCCCTTAAGCTGTGGTTTGGCTAGCACCATCTGCTGGTGATTTCCTGATCTGCCGTCCACATCTTTGGTGGGGGTGGTCATTCTTGTCCTTGGCCATAGGGGACTTCCAGAAATTAACAGGTGATATCACTTGATTCCAGTGGCCCTCCTTTCCTCAGCCCTTTCTGGGGAGATTTGACAGGCCACCGCCTCCCCTTCAGGGATGAGGCTGCCTGCTGTTTTCTTGGGGGATTGTCCTCCATGCCACTTGCCCCTCCTCCCAAAGATAATAATTTCAGCCGCCTCCATGTGAGCTCTAGGGCTACACAGAAGACAGGGGCCAACTGCTGTTATGCAAAATTGTAGTATCTTTAGGCTTGTTATCACTGGCTTTTACTATATCATCCCCATTTTATAGATGTAGAAACTGAGGCGAGAGGGTTTCCACAGTGATCATCCATGCCGAGCTGACTTTCTGTCTGTGTCCTCCTGTCTCCCGTCATGCTGTGTGTGCCAAGGAACAGCAGCAGCTTTTAATCGTAACCTGGGAAGCAAGGCATGAATCAGTGTCTGCTGCCGCTGCCAGATAACCACCCCTCTGGCTGTTTCGGATGCCCTCCGCTTGGGAGGGATGAGGGCTTGCTTTTCCTTTTTATCTAACAAAAGTGAAACTGTTCCAAGCAAAATGTGTCAGATGGTTTTCCAGAGGCCTTCAGATGGTCCAGACTCCCTAGTGACCTCTCGCTTTGTGTTGCAGCCTCGTTATGTTTTACTTCATTGCGCTGGCCGGAGCACACAAGCGGGTGGTCCTGCAGCTCCGCGAGCAGCTGTCCTTGGTAAGGAAGCACTGGGCGCAGCTGGGGACGTTGACCCAGGACACCGCAGTGAGTGTGATGTTCATCGCAGGGAGAGGTGGAGTGCTCTCATCACCACCCGCCAAAACTCTGCCTTCAGGCTGGGTCTCCTCTGGCTCCATTCATGTTCGGACATGTCCACCCCGCGATGTGTATATATCCTCATTCTATGCTGGGGTACAGAGGTGAAGAGGGGAGACAAGACTGTTCAGTGGTTAGAGAAAAAGAAATTCCGATTACAGTCACTGCTACGAAGACCATACAAACCAGGCAGGCAGAGTGATGGGTGGGCCTCCGCTGCTGTAGATGGTGGTGTGGAAAGCCTCTTTGAGAAGGTGATGGTGGAGCTGAGACTTGAACAATGAGAAGGAGCCGATTATGGGAGGTCTTCGGAGGAGGGGTCAGCAAGGTGTGGCTGGAGGGTGGAGGATGATCAGGAGAGACCAGATGCTGCTGGAATCCCAGCGAGGATCACAGCGTAGCCTGAGGGCTCTGGTAAGAAGTTTGAGTTTAATTCTGAGTGTGATAGAAGGTCACTGGAGGATTATAAGACTGGTGTTCACTTTTAAAAGATGATTGGCCGCTTTGTGGACAAGGGGCTGTGGAGGGGAAAAGAGTGAAAGAGGCAGTTTGGAGGCCATTGCAGCCATCCAGTGGTGAGGACCCTTGGCCCTGAGCCTGACAGGTGATTTCTTAGGTCACAATAATGATATTTGTTTCCAAATATATTGAATGTGCCCTTGAACCTCTCTCTGCTTTTAGGAAAGTCGTGACAAGCGTTATCTGATCCAGAAACTAACAGAAGCCCAGAGGGATATGCGGAACCGGCTAGACTGACAGGAAGCCCTGCTGTGTGTGGCTTACAAGCTGCCGTGGTGACCTGCCAGCCAACAAAGCCCACCTGGGACTTTAGCAGAGATTTTTTTTAATACATTTTTCTGAAGCTTGGGCCTTTCCTGAGAGTGGTTCCATACGTGTGCAGCTGCGGTGGCCGTGTGTACATGACCCAGCCCCTGTTTAGGCTTAGGGAGTTAGAAAAGCGAGTTCAGTGCCATGTCTTTGCCTGTGGCCCAGCAGCTCAGGGACAGCTCGACCAACACACTGACTTAAGAAGCCCTTGAAGCTTTTACAACCAAAACTGAGGAGAGAGCTTTTGTAATTTTATAAGCTTATTGGTACTGTCTTTTCAAGTTAACTGTAGACATTATCTCTCCATGAGCCTGGGTTAATTCTTTCGAACCAGATTTTGGGTTCAAAGGCCGGGAAGTGTTCCTTAAAAAGTAGTGACTCTTTTGAACGGTTCTGTAGACTTAATATGGAGACCTGATTGTTTTAAATGAAGAGAAATCCTTGAATCGTGATGTTTGAAACAGGTGGTGGGAGCATGGAGAGGATGGTTATGTAATTTCAGCTACGTGGTAGCATGGAATATAAGAGTCATTTTATATGAGAGCAAAAAGCCCTTCCTGCCACTTGAATGAACAAGGATCTGAAGTGCCCTGGATTAAGCCTTAGAAGGAGGGGACCTGCTGCAGGGTGGCAGCCTGGATTTCGTAGCTTCTGGGGCATTTTGCTCCAGCCTTGTTACTCAGAGGGAAGCTGCCTTTAAGAGCCTGGATAATCCCAAGCCTTCTGTTCAACTTCTAGTCCTGAGTCTGGAGACTTGGCAGAGGGCCCTGTGCCATCAAGAAGCCAAGTCTGTCTCTCGGTCTTCCAAACGCTGTTTCCCTTCCTGCACTGAGGTTTCTGAATGACACTTCACATTTCAGAGCCAGGCTGGAAAGGGCTGCTGAGTATTTGAGCTGTGAGTCTATGCACAGAAGTGTTTTGGCATGTGGGTGGCAGCATCGGACCGTCCTGTGCAAGTTTACCAAACTAGACTGACTGCTGACGTCTTAAATGCACATATTCGTATTTTAAGGGCTATTGTTTGCCTTCTTGTGCTTAAATTTTTTTAATTTTCTTTTACAAAACATGCAGAGTATCTCTTAATATTTCCGTTACCATAAAAACCATATGCAAGAAATACCTCATCTAAGCTTACCTGAAATTGGTCACTTTAAACCTTTTAATATAAGCCTAGATTATGGTTTAATGTAATCAGTTGTCATTTTAATACCTTGAGACTCTTGTTCAAAGTACTGTAGTTTTGTAAGGGACCGTTTGTGCCTTCCTTCCAATGTTTTCCTTTGTTTCTCAGACTCTAAACCTTTCCTGGGAGTAGCCTGGAATTTAAAGGTGGGTGCAGGTTTTAGAAAGCTGCTGCTGTGAAGAGTATTTCTCACCGCCCCCACCCCCACCTACTCAGAAATGATTGATTCCTTCCTCTGAGGAGCAAAGCTTAGCACAGGTTGACCATAGCTGACACATTTCTATATACTTGTCCCTTGTCCCTTTGCCAGACCATCTTTTTGCTCCCACAGAGTTAGCATTAACACGGGATATTTTTATATCTGTGAAACTGATGAGCTTTTCAAGCTTTTCCTGCCTTGAGCTTTATGAATTTCTAAGTCTAGTTATAACTAGTATCATGAAGTTTTGAGCAAACAAAAGTTCATTCCACCCTCAGTTTTTAAAAATTCTGATTGTTGGCGTTTTTGCCAACAATGTACATGCATAACGTTCTTGCCTTCTCCATGCTTCTGAGGACAGTTAGGTTTTCTCTGTACGTGTGTGTGTCAGTGTGAGTGTGTAAGAAGCCGTTTTCTTTCCCTATTATACTGAAATATGTTAATATATTCATTTTAGTTAAATGCTGCTAATTTGCATACGTCTTACTTGAATGTTTTTATATATTTTGATAACTTTAATAACTGCAGGTGATGTCTGTATAATTGTTAAAGTGCAGCTGTCTCTAACAAATGTGCATTAAAACTACTGATTAAACTGTGTCTTGAAGATTTTAAAATGTGATTATGTATATTTGAATTCTTGGAGGTTTCTCATCAGCAATCAAGTGATCATGGAAAACTACAACAGTTTGTAAAGTTGCTCTTTGCCCTTTCCTAGAATCAGAGAGGAGAAAGATGTTTTTAATTATATAGAAGATCATCAAAATGAGTGTTTTTAAGATTCCTTGGCTCTTTTGAAACCAAGGAGGGGTGTATTGCATGTGCTTTAAACTTAAAAAGACATAAAGTTATTTCAGGTACCCCCCCATCCCACCCTCAGGGGGAACCACTGCTAATGAGGTTTATTTTATTCTCCCAGAAAGTTATAATACATATTCAAGCAGATATGTTATCTGTAGTTATATGTGTGATATGGATGTATTTATTTCTGAGCTTTTTTTCTCAGTAACATTTGGAAGATCTTTCCATGTAAGTAGCTACTCGTTCTTTTTACTGACTACATAGCATTCTGTTGTATCAGTGTTTACTTCCATAATCATTCACCCACTGCTAGATACTTACTTTGTTTTCAGCCACTCCCCCGGCCCACCCCTCTCCCATTACAAACACGGGGAGCTAGAATGTTAAAAGTCCATGCAGAAATTGCTCTCTTCTCTGTTCTGACCCATTCAGCTCCAGGCTCCTGTTCTTTATCAAGGCAGCCTTGTACATTCTTGAAATCACAGAATATTCTCATCCCAGCAAAGACAAGAAACCAGTTACATGAGTCATTAGTTTGCATTAAATCTTATCAGAGTAAATTCCTGCAGCTACATATCTGATTGCAGAAACCCATTTTGTAAGTATTGGAGAAGAAAAGGAATTAATTTTGCCAGGATGGCACTACAAGGTCTGATCCCTAGGAAGACAGAACTTCTAAATGTTATCTTCTTTATATAGGGTAGGGTTTTATTAGTAAATTCCTTTTGATGTATTTTCTTTCCAATGCATGGGATATGCTAAGGACATGAAATGGCTTTGCTCCTTGCTTAATTGTGTAATTTTGTACAAATGACTTCACCTTGCTGCGATTAAGTTCCCTTATCTTTAAAATGGGAAATAATACATTCACTTATATCTTTGAGGATTGAATTAGGAATAGTAAGCCTTTTCTTTATGAAATTTTGTTTTCTCACTACAAAAATACTTGCTTATTATAGAAAATACAGAGAACATTGAAAACTATAGAGAAAAAAAGTAAAAGTCAAGTATAAGCAACATTTATGGACATCCACTGTTAATCTTAGCAAAATTCCTTTTAAGGTAGAAAGTACAGACTGAGGGAAAGAAGATGAAGAGAAAGAAAAAAAGATTGACATTCTCGTTTCTCTTTCATAAGTGTTTTCTCACTTTATCCAAAATTCTTTATAAGCATTTCAATGGTCTATGTAATATAACATCACACAAATCTTAATTTTTTTAACATCCCCTTGCTGCTTAACATTTTGTTTCCAGATGTTCCTGATAATAACTGGGACATCCATAAATCTTTGTCAACATTTTTTTCTTCTTAGAGACCTAGATGTGGGATTACAGCCAAGATTTAGAACATTTTAGGGCTTTTGAGAGCCAGATTTACACTCAAGAGCTTTACATGAGAATGTTACATCACCCTCACTTTCACTAAGTATTTGGGTTTAAAAAGTTACATAACAGTTGATCATAATTTTAAATTATTGTATGTTAATGTAATTTGAAAACAATTAGCAACTTCATTTATTTTACAGTGTAGTGTATCTTAAATGTTTTATAGCAACTTGGATAAAAGATACACAGAATCCAAGGGTGTAAGGTAGAAAAATGAAAGCCCCTTTCTCACAACTCCAACCCTCTGAAGTTACCATTATTAAACGTTTTGTTAAATATCCTTCCAGATTATGCACCTTTAACTTTTTGCCCTCAGAAACATACATCACACATTGGAAAAATTACTTCTGTTCCATAGGTTCCCGAAAGTAGGATTTCTGTATCAGTGGATATGCATTCTTTTAAAGGTAAACAAAATTTTCTTTCTTGAGACTTTTATTTTTTTAGAGCAGTTTTAGGTTCACAGCAAAACTGAGGAAAGTACAGAGATTTCCTGTGTATTCCCTGCCCCGACACATGCACAGCGTCCCCTATTATTAACATCCCCCACCAGAGTGGCACATTTGTTACAACTGATGAATCTACACTGACAGATTGGATATAGGCTTTTAATTAAAAGTATGAAATATATTGCTAAACCTCCCCACCCCACCTCTCAAGAAACCAATTTGCGCCAATATACACTCACACCAACAGTAAAGTGGAAATAATAAATGTTCTCTGTAGAAAACCTAAAAATAGAGAAAAGGAGTAGGAAGAAATTTAAAGTCGTCTGTCAACCCCAATGCCTAGAGATACCACTACTGACCATATGAATTTAATTTCAGAATGTAATTACTGTTTTAAAGTGGCTGTAGGCTACAAGTAGAGGAGAATCTCCCATGTTGGTAAAGCAGAAAATACGATGACTATGCCAACAAATAATTTAATTTTTACCCTGTGGGGATCTTTCACAGAGCAATTTAGCATTCTCATCTCCATGGCAACCGTACCGTCGAGCTCCTGAGTGATTGCTAGTGATCGCATTCAATAGAATCTTTTCACCTGATGTTTCCAACCAATCGAATGGAAACGCAGTCTAGGGGCGTGTCCGAGTCCTCTTACGTCGGCTGTGCGTCATCAGTCCGCGCCAAGGGCGCGTTTGGCCCCTTCCGTTCAGGGAGCGGTTGCCCTGCAGTCGCGGCGATGAGCTACGCCGGGGCGACGGCGGCTCGCTCCCTGCGGCGGCTGCACGCGGGCGGCCCGCAGGCCCTCTCAGGTAAAGGGGGAGCGCGACCGCGGACCCGCGCTGGGCGGGCGAGTCGGGGACTTCTCGCCTGAGGCTTGGGTCGGAGAGGTCACGGGAGAGACGTTTACTACGTCACTGGGTTGCGACGGAGCGGGACTGCGCAACTGGAAACGCGGGGGCTGGCGGCGGTGGGGGCCGGGCGGGAGGGGCGTGATTTTTGGCAGGGAGGCTCTGGGGTGCAGCTTCCCCGTCGGTGCGTTGGGGAATCACAATTGCACACCTGTGCCGTGACGTCGCTGGAGGTGTGGTCGGCGTTCCGGGTCGAGGACAGCTGGCAACCTTGAAAGTTCCGTGTCCTAGGGGTGTCCCTGTAACCTTCTCTCAGGGCCTTGTCCCGCAAAGTGTAGCCCTAAGACGGGCTGCGTCGGCTTCCCCCTACCTCTTGGAACCTGTTAGAAATGCAGGTTCTCAGGTCCCTTCCCTGACCTACTGGGTCACTGAATCAGTATTTTAACAACCCTTTCGAATGATTCAAATGTTTCGTATGCGTTAGCAAGTTTGAGACGCACCAGGGTAGTGGAAGGAGCATCCAATTTGGAGTGGGGAGACTTGGGCTTTGATCTTGGCTCCTCCTTTCCTCGTTTCATTTGACCTGCCTCCGAAAATTGTGAAGTCCTTTCTCAAAGTTAAATCATTCGTGTACCACCTTCAGGATTTTTGTTTATAGCAATAACATTTGCATTTTTAATTAAGCTTTTTTTTCCTTAAACGTGTTCCATTCTTAAAATTAATTTCACAGAAACTAGATTCTTATGGTAAACAGAAAAACCAGCATTGCCTGTCCCAAATAGAGTGATCATAAAAAATAAATACGCTAAAAACAAAAAGTTATTGTACTAAATACTGCTGCCTACCAAGGCTTGAACCCAAGACCATCTTCCTTTCTGGTAAGAGAGGTAGATTAGCAGGTGTTAGGAAGGTATTTGATATATGTCAGCTATAAACTGAAACAATCTCCTTGATGCAACCAAAAGGATTGGAAGAGAATTTAAAAGAGAATAACTCTTACTAAATAATATGGGTGTTATTTAGCGTGTGTTCATAGCCGTGAACTTCCCATATACCACTTGAAATCTAGATACCACCATAGATATGTGTTTCACGTTTTGGGAAAACAAATATAAAATGTGAGAGCTTCTAGCACTGGGCCTCAATTTTATGTTATTATTTCTCAATTTTTTTTAAGTGTGTGACAATGCAGGGTAAAATTCAGAGGATTGTTGAACATGAATTTTAATGCTTCTTTGTTGAGCCAATGAGCAAAACAGATTAAGAATCATTCTTTTTCATCCATAAGGTTACTTTGCTTCCTATATCTCCTTTTATCTTCATAACTCCATAGAAAGATTTTTATTATTGTGTGTTTCCCCTCAAAAAGGGAATAACCTGATTATTCCCAATTTTGTATGTAAGAAATGGCAATTCTGATTTATGTAAGGTCTGTGTTAGAGACAGGACACATATTTTCTGACTCTAGCTCTGTGCGCTTTCTGTGGTCCATCCCGCACTTTTTAAAGACACCTTGCAGAGATTGTGGAAAGAGAAATGGCAAATATTATGATACCCAACCCTCCACACATACCCCCAAAAAGCATCTTTTAGGTGCCTGAATCTGGAAAAGTAGTGCAGTGCTCGGGAAAAGTCAAGGATGTTTTTAATAGAAACATAATTCTACCCACCAGAAGTCAGCTGAGTGTTTCAACTCATCCTCATCCTGTGCACTCGGCCCCTTGCGATCTCTCAGTAAATCGTGTCTTAAAAATGAGTATTGGGTTGTCTTTAAAGTTCTTTCCTATTAACATGTTTTTGGGTGGGAGTGAAAAAAATCAAAGAACAAGCAAACGAGATTATTTTGAGAAATAGAGTCATCTCATCATTTTTTATTTTAATTTCTGGGCCTCATCTTCCTGCAAGTAGGCTAGATTGGTGGCAGCACCTCCTTGGACTTGGAGGCAAAAACATGGGACAGGCTACCTTGACTTTGTCAAATGTTTCAAATTGTTCTCCACATAAAAACATGGCCACAGACCACAGCGACCCACTGTCAGACGGCATAGATCTGAGTGGCACCTGACAGAACTTGGACTCCATCCAGTTCTTTAAGTCAAATATGCTCAGTGAGATGGAGCAGATTGTGTGGAGGACCAGCTCAAAGCTGGGTCACCATGCTTCGGACTCCAGGGTCCATGCTCCTTTGTTTAGAGTGAGGCATTTAAAATCCTACCTGCCTGAGAAGTTCAGGTGCAGAACCACCCCAGATTTCATCAGGCCTATCCCATCGCCTTATGTCCAAAGCCCTCAAGCTTTTTAATGAAAAAACTACAGATGTACCCAAAATGAAACTTCCCGCACATTTTCTGGGTGTTGAAGTTAGCCTAAAGGAAAAGATCTATTAAACACATGGTAGTCATACGTAAGAGCGTTGGAACACTTGTCAAGGCCCGGAGAATACAGTCAAGATAGTACTGTTTGAAGGTTTCTTTAAAAGACAAAGTCTAATCTGTCCTGAAGAATTTACATTTTGAAGGCAAAAAGAGTTCAGTTGAATTAAGTACCGTAATGAGAAGAAACCTAAACTCTAAGGCTAAAATCTCAACATCAGATGCCCATGGGTATAAGTGTCTTAAGAGAACTTAAATCTATGGTTCTCAGCCTTAGCTGCGGAGAAGATTCATGTGCAGAGATTTTTAAAAACATCAGTGTCCGTCTCCCAGAGAGGACTGGGGAGGCGCATCCATGGATTTGAGAGCTCCCTAGGGGCTCTGTGCAGCCAGGGTTGGGAACAAAAAGGCGACCGGGAGGCGTGGGTGGCCCGGAGAACCATGTCCATCTAGAGCAGCTGCCACATTGACTGCTCACTGAGGAGACAGGCTCAGTGTTTTCAGAGCGTCATACGCTTAAAAGTGAAGCCAGAAGTCCAGGTCTTCAGGTAGAATCTTCTGTGTTGTAAGTGTTGGTAACTAATTCGCTTTCAAAGCCAGAACAAAAACACCACAAGGTAAACATTACGCGCTAACAGGCACAGCCGGCCTCTGGAGGGCTTGTTTGTGACCTTTGATCTAAGGTGCGTCTTCTGTCTGTAAAAGGAGACACCTCAGCCTTACCTGAGAGTAATGAAGAATAAACACTTGCGTTGCAGCTTATGGAAGAAGAGTCAGTGTCAGATTTTGCAGCTCAGGAATGACCTTAGACAACATCAACTGGGCAGCCGTGGACCGAATAATCCGGGTGGACCATGCGGGTGAATATGGAGCGAACCGCATCTATGCAGGGCAGATGGCCGTCCTGGGTCGGACGAGCGTCGGACCGGTCATTCAGGTGGGCACTTCTTCCCTCTCTGGCTGGTCTGCTGAGCAGGGGGGGATCCAGAGGCTGTAAAGGGATGCATCCCACTGGGTCATGCATTCTCGAGGGAGGTATTGTTGTCCCCAAGAGAGTGTAAATTGGTTATGGGAGTGGGTGTGGGAAAAGGAAAATACTGTTCTTTTTCTGTTAAAACACAGACAGACATCTAGTAGGTAAACTGACAGACAGTGTATCTGTATGATTAAAATCTCACAGTGGGACGGGCAGGGCTGCGAGTCCTTGCGTTAAGTGAAAGTACCGGCTGCTGAGACATCACGGCCCTGCCCTGAGTGGAGCCCAGCAGAGAGAGTTTATATTTTATCCTGAGAGGCAGAGGGATGGGCCTGGGCTTTGTCATCACACAGAGCCAGGTTGCATTCCAGCCCTCTCCCACCCTCTCCCTGTGTGACTTTGGGGGAGTCACCTGACCTCTCTGGGTCTCCATTGGCATATCTGCAAAATGAGCTGAGAACACCTTCCTCACTGGATCTTCGTGAAGAATAAATGAACTGGTGTATGCAGAGCAGCTAATACCATGCCTGGCCTGCAATAGACACTCAGCACAAGTTAAATTGCCTGCTCTGAGTCCTTGGACAAGTTACTTAACCTCTCTGTGCCTCAGTGTCTTCATCTGTGTAATGGGGTTAGTAACAGTGTGTCCTTCACAAGGCAGTTGTGCGGATTAGAGGAGTCCCCTGTGCAGAGCTCTGTGATGGTGGTTGGCACTTGTGCGTGCTCTGTAAGTGTCAGCTCTTCTTACCATTCTCCCTTTTCTCTTTGATGTAAATGCGTTTCTAGCCGTCTTACATAAAACGTAATATTCTGCCCTCCTAATTTTGAAATGGGCTGAGCATCTCATTTCTCACAGATGTGGACCATTGTCCTTTAATAGGCACTTGTGGGTCCGAGGAACTTTAGCGAGAATCATGGTTCACGGCACCCCTTTCTGGAATTGAGATAACAGCGGCTTCTCTTGGTTGGTTGTCACTCTCTTGCCCACAGTCTGATGTTCAGGTTTTCTCCGCATTGACTCAAGGGGAGTGAGGCAAATAGCAGTTCTCATCACTGTCTCCATTTCGCTTCCTTTACCCCACCTGGACAGGGCCTGCGGCCCCCCTGGTATATAGCAGGTGGCCTCTGTGGCATGCTTACCTGTCTTTATTTTTGTGTTTCTTACAGAAAATGTGGGATCAAGAAAAGGACCACTTGAAAAAGTTCAATGAGTTGATGGTTGCATTCAGGGTGCGGCCGACCGTTCTGATGCCCTTTTGGAACGTGGTGGGGTTTGCGCTGGGTACGTGTCTGTCCAGAGAGCGCGTGTGAGCCTAGGCATCTGGGAGGACTGAATCGTTAAATACCCACTGCCACAACTCTTGCTGTGTCCTCTTGCAGCCTTTTTATTTACTTAATACTTTCCTAAAGTTAAATTGACTGACTTTTTTTGGCTTAAATTTACTTAAGAGAGAACCTTAAAATCAGTATTTTTATAAATAGAAGGCACAGTGGAAATAAACCCCACAGAGAGGAAAAAAGCTAGAGTAATTCATTTGTAGCCAGACGATGTTCCCTGATGAAGGTTCTAAACCTGGGATCTGCTCACTCCTAAAAAACAGGAGTAAATGGTATAAAATCATGAAGGCCCCCCCCCAGGGAGGACCCTTCTGCCATAATGAGAAGGTTGCCTTGAGCGTTGAAAAGGGAGACGCATTCTTATTGTGTGATTTGTGCTTTTAACACTGCGACCTGGCACCACCTCAGACCTGGGTTTTCAAGGGTGGCGAGTTGCTCCTGAGGACACTTGGCAACATCTAAAGACATTTTTAGATGTTGTCCCAACGGGGGGTGCCACTGGCACCTGTGTGGGCAGAGGCCGGGGCACTGCTAAGCATCCCCTGACGTTCAGGACGCTCCCGCTCAACAAGGAATTACCCAGCCCCGGGGTCCATGGTGCCGAGGCGACAAGCCCTGACGTGACCTCATCTCCCCATTGGGGTCCGTCCCGTCCTTCACCGCCCGAATCTGACAATTCCAGGCGCAGGAACCGCCCTGCTGGGGAAGGCGGGTGCGATGGCCTGCACCGTGGCCGTGGAGGAGTCCATTGCACATCACTACAACAACCAGATCAGGACGCTGATGGAGGAGGAGCCTGAAAAATACCAGGAGCTTCTTCAGGTATTGGACAGTGCTCTGGAAGGGGCTGGTACAGGGAAAAGGGCAGGTACGCAGTTTGGAAGGGAGGAACAAAACAGAATGCTACGGAATAATCTTAGAAATCTAGGGCAGCGCTCATTTTAAAGACAAGCGAACTGAGGCAGCTAAAGTCGTGTGTCCTTCACGTGCTTGGGACCAGAATCTGTGTTTCCTCAGATCGGACCTGTGTTCTCCTCACTTCCGGGTCATTGATAGATTCTGAGCACGAGCACAAACCCTTCAGATGAAACAAATGAACTTACAGATGTCCGCAGAAATGTTCTACAGCAAATGAGGGAACTGTTTGGTTTTTTAAGCCTAAGTCAGAGGTTGGTAAACTCTGGCCACTGGCCAAACCACCTGTTTCTGGAAATAAAGTTTTGTTGGAACAGAGTTGTGCCCATTTATGTGACCCCTCTGCTCTCCCCTCTACAGTGGCAGAGTTGAGTCATTGTGACAGGGGTCTCGCAGCCCAGAGAGCTTGAAGTTCTGACTCTCTGGCCCTTTATAGGAAAGGTTTGCCTCCCTGTGTCTTAAATGAAAATATGAGGCTTTAGCCTCCAAAATAAATCAGAACAGCAGCGAGTTGGAAGGCTGACTTGCTTCGATGTCTTTTCATTTAACCAGGTGATACGGAAGTTTCGGGACGAAGAGCTTGAGCACCATGACATAGGCCTGGAACACGACGCAGAACTGGTGGGGCTCCCCCTCTCCTGTTTGCTTGTGGTGGCACCTTATTTGGAAGGTTGAGGGGCAAGAAGGTTTCTGCTCTTAGAAAAGTAGATTTCAGTGTGACTGCTAAAGAAAGCGCCAGCACACTGCCCAACAGAGAGCAAGCGTTCAGCTTGCCCCGGCCTGGGGGTCTCACTTCCCGCTTCTCCCCAGCACTTGCTGCCCCCTTTCCTGTGAGAAACCAGAAACCAGGTGGTTCAAATGTTCTGGCAGTAGCAGAGGTGTCCCAATCTTTTGAATAGTTTGGCTTTTTTTCTAAATTAAAATAAATTGTTTCTTAGATCTCATTACTTATCCAGAGAGGTCCCAGCCCTGCCCGGCCAGGCCTGTGTCTTACAACTGAAGGTGAGCACAGACCGTGTTTCTTTTGTTTGCTAATTGTTGTTGTTTTTAACAGGCTCCAGCATACGCCGTTCTGAAGACCGTCATCCAGGCCGGCTGCCGCGTGGCGATATATTTATCAGAAAGATTTTAGAGTATGTCCACTTTTCCCTGTGTATAAAAGATGATAGTAACTTAACAAGTGACATTGGCAGAAAAGGAAATGTACAATGATTTTTCTGTGAATTTTGTTAATAAACCGCGAGAGGTTTTTTTCATTAATAAAACCCTCCAGTGTGGACTTTTCTCTGGTGCCTTATGGCCATAAGGCTGACCGTTCACCAGGTGTGTTCAGATTACAGCAAGTGAAGCTGGTCCTTGTTTGGTCTGTAGTTAATTTTTTCCTAAAACATCTAGAATGAATCATTAAGAAAGTAACAGTAATCTTCAAGAGAAGAAAAAATTGAGTTTACTGGCAACGCAGAGTAACTTAAAAGCACGATGATGTTTAAGAGTGACAGAGCAAGCCTGTCGAGCCCACCAGGTGAGCGGAACACTGACATTGTCTCTTGTGAGTTGTGAGTTGAAGGCAGGTT